TTCGGGTCCGGTCGCTTTCTTGTGGTTCAGTGCGCACTACAACCCCGCCACAATTGTACCCGACGTCCTGGACGTTAAAGTAGAGAAACCTTTAGGCCACCTCTATTCTCACCCGGGGTGAGAAGTGCAGGCGAGTCTTTTGGCTATTCTCACCTGGTGCGCGTTCACCGTTATAGCCTAGATCTAGATCTAGATCTAGATTAGACTAGATCTAGATCTAGGCCAACAAATTTTGCGTTCACCCTAAACCACAGAATTCTACACTGTGATAACATAAATATTGTAGAATTCTGTGCCGTGAACAAACGTTCCATTACAATTGTAGCCTACTAAAAGCGTACAATTTTGTCTGTGGGCAGTGGAGAGAGAGAGAGGAGTAGTACGAGAACTTCCGGTCAAAACAAAATGGCGACCCGCGTAGTTCGGCTCGATTCGAAAAGTTAAATAGCCGTAGCATCTTTGTAGACAACCAAATTAATTTACTTTTGTGTTTTAACATCATTTTTAAACTTTGTTTTGGTCAATTTGATCATCCACACCTGATAGACAGAGAGAGAGAGGGGAGGAGTAGATCTTGCGAGAACTTTCGGGCAAAACAAAATGGCAACCCGCGTAGTTCGGCTCGATTCGAACAGTGAAATAGCCATAGCATCTTTGAGGAGGATCAAATTAGCTTACTTTTGTGCTATAACGTAATTTTTTCTTGGCTTTTATCAATTTGATCATCCACACCGATAGACAGTATTCCAAAATGAGGAAAAGTAGGTCTTGTTTCGCACCGGGTGAGAATAGCCTACGCTGGCAAGTCTCACCCGGGGTGAGAGGTAGATCGTTTTTCTATTCTCACTCCGGATGAGAATAGCCACTTCCAAACCTTTAACGTACATCATGCGACTACACAGAGGGCGTAAACCGGGCTATGATCGACTGAACCTTTGAACCATGAATACATAAATGGCCTACGATACTCTTGCACTCCCGCACTCCCTCTCTCTGTCTCAGTGTGTGTGTGTGCGTGAGTGCTTGCTTGCTTGCTTGCTTTAGTGTCTCTCCTTTCTTGTCTATTTTCTCACTTCCCATATCAGAGACCTTGATCTAGATTTAGATAGCAATGTAAACATTGCTAGATATAGATCTAGGGCTCTGCATATATATATATATATTATATATATATCTCTCAGCTTATCTCTCTCCCTCCCTGTCACTCTCACCACCCTCCCTCTGTAGTGCTCCTCCTCCTTCTTCTTATTCGTCTCCTTCCTCAAGGCTGATGAGGGCTCCAAACCCATTGTGAGAAGTGAGAAGAAGGTCAAAGGAGTGAAACCGAAACCGGGAATTCCCAGAGTACCTTCTTAATGTATTCATGGGTCAAAATGGACACATGACTCAGCCTTGTTGTGATTGGCTGCAAACCACCCGATCGCGCGATTCGCAGGCCAGAAAACAAACGCATTTGTTTTTGTAGGTCACCGATCATGTTGATTGGTTTGTGCCACGATGGCCGCTTTGCGCCCTTAATTTGGCTAGCCCTGACTTCAAGATGGGCCCACCTGACCCGATCACGTATGTGGGCACCCCCTATTAGGCTAGACCCACACCGGCGTCGGGCCCGACGGTCAGACCCGAGCCGATGATTGTTTGCCGGCTGTGGCGCCCATACCGCCACCGGTACCCGATGATCAGACATCAGTTTGATTTTAATAGAGGAACATGGCATGTGGCAGGTCAGAAGGAGAAAGTTATTGTTCTTGTTGTGGTTTGGAAAGGTGGGGAGGTGGGGGGGGGGCTCTTGTGTCACTCGTGATGTAGGGTTACGTTGTTTGCCTCTCATTCAATAGGTCCCGGGCTCGAAACTTGACAGCGACGGAAAATTTTCTTCTTTAAAATGTTCTCCTTTTACTTCCTTTCCTGCTCTCATGTTCTGTCGTGTGTTTTCGTTTTTTGTGAGCGCTGTAAAATACTCTCAAGACAAAAACCAACAAAACGTGGCGGGAAAGGGGGACTGAATTTATAGAGGCAAGGTCTACGAAAATTAACCTCCTTTCGCCTGGCGGACGGCGTGCTAAACCATCTGGTCTGGGACGTTGGGTTTTGGTTTTGGCAGGTTGCCGTTTTTTATTACCTGTCCTTACTGTTCTGCCAGCATTCTTTCTTTTGTGTCGAAAAAAGGTCCGGTCTGACCGTCGGGCCCGACGCTGGTCTGAGTCTACCTTTTTATGCATCAGAAGATATTCGGAGATGTCTCCGGTGAGCACCCAAGAACTATTCTGAGACGCACTCTCGCACACAGATGCACTGCTTTGGGGGATCAAACTGCGTATTGTTTGCTGCAGAACACACTTAGATATATATGATATATCTAGATCTAGATTAGATTCTAGATTTGTAGGAGGCTAGCCACTAAAACTTTCGCAAATCAGTTATTTTCTAAGAAAATTTCAAACTTTTAACTGCAAAATATATCAAATTATGGGTTAAAACTGGGGGGCATGCCCTTCTGTAACCCCTATATTTTTTTACTTGGTTTAGAGGCACAAAGCATTTTGATTGGTCTAGATTCTATCTCTGAATAGATACTCCAGTTGATAATGCAACTGACTGTTGTACTAAATTGAATTGCTAAAAGGCTGGGAATGAGGAGAGCTAGGTGTACTGTAAATGCTTCACTCCTTTCATGACCTTGACTTCTTTCATTTTTCCACCGTTTTCCTGTTGCATTATTTGTATCCAGGCTCATGTAAAACTTTGAACCCAAATAATAGAAGCTACCCGTCTTGTTTCCTCGTAGACAACTGAACTCTGATAATGCAACACACTCAAGGCACCCCCCC